TATACCCTTTTACAGTTCTCTTCTGTGTATTGCATATGTGGTCATGCTATAGATCCCCATCAGTTACCTTCTACAGCAGTCATTTCCTCATCAGTCTGTCAGCCTCAGCCTGTTTCTTTTGAACTTACTTCTCACCTACTGAGCCATTCTTGGCCATGTTTTGCTTCTATAATTCTATCTTGTTTTTCTATATTCCATAGCTATTTACATTTTTTTTTTTACCTATAACAGTTGTTTTTCATTGCCTCCTTGTTAATTATCTCTGTGCTTATTTTGCTTGCAGCTAATGGTGTTCATTCAGAGAAAAAATAGCATCCATTATGTCAAGACAGCTTTCAGGCCTACAATCCCTTCCTTGATAGTGATTCTATTTAGGATACCACTATCATTATTGTCAACAGTCCAGGTATATGGTGAGACTCTGCTCTTAACACAAAGTGGAGTGCGTTCACCTGTGGAGGGATGATGTGTGGCAGCTCTCAGTGTTTACTGTGACCTTGCCTGTTGATCAGGAATCTTACCACAAGGTATTTGTGAGTTCTTGATGCTTAGTCACCATGGCTATTTTTGTGTGCATGCACCTTACAGCTACAATCATTGCTATCATGCAAATCAATAAAAACTTGAACAATTAGAATATAAACAATAGGGCGTAACAGCACATTGAATACTCTTGTGGCAGATTGCAATGGCAAGGTTGATACCCTTCCTAGAAAGATGAATACATAGAGGCCACTACACGCAGCCCATCCACAGTCCTGGAACCCACAAACTTCATATGCAGTACAAGGAATGGGACCTACTCTAGAGCTCATCCATTCCCCCCTCAACCAAGACCTCCTTCCCACTAGGGTGGCACCCACCTTGCTGTACTCAAGACCTCAATTTGACCAAGATTTCAGACTTGATGGAGGCATCCTCTATCACCAAGAGCATATCTATGTTCTAGAAGGTCAGCCCAAGTTAGAGGTGCTCAGACTTGGCCATGACATCCTGGTGTCTGGTCACTTTGCCCATGCCAAGACTGAGACACTCCTTGACCACAATTTTTGGTGTACCAAGTTGCATTCAGACATCAGCTCATAAGTCAGTTCCTGTGAAACCTGCTCCCATACCAAGACTGGTTGACCCAAGCCCTTTGGGTCCCTGTAACACCTATCACTTCTTAGTCTTGGACTGCTATATCCCTGGACATGATCACCATCTTTTCTCATTCTGAAGAATGCACTTCAATCCTAGTGTCTCAGGACTACAGTCCCAAACACCTGACCCTGGAGCTCAGAAGCCAAGCACCAGCTCAACCTTCCACCAGGCCATGCCTCATAAAGGAAGGCAGAGTGGCAAAGAAAGGAACCCTGCCAAGGAAAGGCTTTTTACCTCTGGCCCCTGATTGGCCCAGGGCTCCTGGCGTCTGATTGGCTCCTCCTATCTATATAAGGTTTCCTGTTTCCTGGGAAAGCTGTCTGGACAACAAGGCTCCTGTTGTCCTTGGACTGCTCTCCTGGTTCCCTGCCTTTGCACCCTAGCTCTGGATCTGGCCACCAATTGCTGACTCTGCTCAGACTCTGATCTCTACCTTTGTCTCATATCTTGGATTGTTGGAATTTGTTTCTCACAGGTATCTGACCTGGCTTGCTCCCTGATTTTGCTCTATCTCGTGTTTCAGCCCTGGCTCAGAGTCGGACCTTCTGGTTTTGACTCTGGCTATCCCTCGGAACTTGGCTTATGGCTTGTGCAAACCACCAGCCAGACCTACTATGCCTTGGTACATGACACTGTGGTAAATTCACTGACCAAGATGGTCCACTTCATCCCTTGTTGTGGTGTGACCAGAACTAAAAAACAGCCAGCTGTTTCTGGGAAACTTCTTACAGTTCCATGGGATGCCTTCCAATATCAATTCAGACTGAAGCTTCCAATTTATATCCCATTTCTGCTGGGCATTCTTCTTGCTTCTAAAGATGAAGTTGCAAGTTTTGTCAGCTTGTAACCTCAGTCCTCTCTCTGGTCAGACTGAGTGGGTTAACCAGGTGCTGGAAAAATGCTTCTAATAAATTTCCAGTAGGCTGACTAGGTCTCCCTCCTGCCATTGGCAGAATTTGCGTATAACAACTCAGATCATGCTTCCACACCACATAGCCCTTTCTATGCTAATTATGGATTCCATCCCTGCTTTCCCTCAGTCCTCACCTTACTCACCACTGCCACAGCAGAGCTAGTAAGCCATCTGCAAAATATCCCACAGGATCTTGAAGGCCACCAAGGCCTACAAAAGCAGGCTAACACAGCCTACAAATACATTATGGACCGGCATTGCTCCAAAGCACCCTCATCCAAAGTAGGACATAGCTGTCCTCCCAACACCTTAAATCCAGTTGCTCCTTCTCCAAAGGCAACCACCAGTACCTGGACCTGTTTCAAATTGTGGCACAGATCAAGTTGGTAGCTTTCTGGGTGCAGCTGCCTGAAGCCATTAAAGTCCATCTTGTCTTCCATGTTTCTTTATTAAAAAAGTACTTAGGAAACTCGTTCCCAAGCTGCACCACTCCATCTCCACCCATCCTAGTGCAAAGGAAAGAGGAGAATAGTGTTAAGAAAGTCCGTGTCAATGGAAAGAGGTAAACTCTGTTTTATTGATTGGGAAGGCTATGAATCAGCAGACTGTTCATGAGAACTAGCTGAGAATGGGCACACTCCTAAGTTGGTCTGAGACTTCCACCATGCCCACCCAGAAAAGCCTGGCCCCAAGGTGCCCAGAAGACACCTTAGGAGGAGAGATGATGTAATGAGCCAAGGACCAGCTTAGTTACAGGTCTCAAGTAGAAGTCATCCCTCAGAAAGAGGGACCCACCCACACTGGCTGTATAAGCTAAAACCAGACAGCAGAGAGCTATCTGGGCAGCAAACCACCTTGCTGTGCCTTTTGTCTGCTTAGAACTCCCAAACATGACTCCACGCTCTGAACCACTAGCTTAGATGTTCCTACTTGTTCCTGCTTCCTCCTGTTCCTGATTACTCTTGTTCCTATCTTGGACCGGCTATATGCCATGACTGTGACCTCATCTCAGTCCTCATGAGATAATATCCTGGACTTGGACAGATACCCAACTTGAAATTGACTTCTGGTCCAGTAACTCCGACCTAGTGTAACCCATTTGCCTCTGCTTCAGTCAACCCTTCCAGAGCACTCTGTTGAAACAACCCAATAATGGATCTACTAGGCTGGAGAACTGGGTGATAATCTGACACTGAAACAGGAGCTCTGGTTTTCATTATGTTTAGAATTTATTATAATGATTGAGGCACTGGTAAGCTTCCAAACTGCTTAAAAATTGTAAATATATCAATAAAACATTATGTTCAACTGATACTTATATATATATAATGGTGTTTCATTTTAATCATGGGAAAATGTGGATTTGGGGGGTTTTTTAATTAGAGAATTTTGGAAGAAGTGTCTCTTGCCTGTGACTCCGTTCCTTTTACGCTATTTCCCTTAGGGCCTTGTCAGGCGCTATACTTGGGATGTGTTTTATTTAGATCGTAGTAAGCATTACTTTGAGTTAGAAAGTTTTCTGAGCACCGTAATGTTTACTATGATCTAAATAAAATACATCCAAAGTGCTGGAGCCATTGAAGACGTTGGTGCACTATAGAGTGCTGCAGCCCAAACAGCTGTTTGTCAGTCCCAGCCCCCCCTGTGCTGGTTGAAGATTCCTGTGTGCTGTGGGGGCTGGGGCTGGCAAAGAGCTGTTTGTAGGTCCTAACTCGCCCACCGCACCAGTCTTGAACCTGCTGCAGTGTGATGGGAGGAGGAGGGGTAGAACCAACCGTCAGCTGTTTGTCAGTCCCTGCCCCTGCAGCACTGGAGCTGGCTGAAGACTCCTGTACGCTATGGGGGCTGGGCTTGAAAAACAGGTGTTTGTTGGTCCCAGAGTTAGCACTAGTCTTGAACTGGCTCCAGTGCATGGGCGGTGAGGGTGGGGATGACAGGACTGGGACTCACAATCAGTTGTTTTTCAGTCCCAGTTTTCCAACTGAACCAGTGTCTCCTGATTGTGTTACCTATCATAGAGGACAGCCTGGTTGTCCTCTGTCCTCTATTGATACAAAACTGGACACCTTTATGTCTGGATATAAAGGCTTCAGGTTTCATATCAAGAGGACAGAGTAGCATAAAACAGGACTTTCCTCTGTGGTGGCCACCCTAGTTACCTCAACATGTAAGGTAATACAATCGAGAAATACTCCTTGGTAGAAAAGTCCTAACTTTGCTATGCTGTGATGGCACTTAGTACATGTTTTGCTGCTTGAAAGATGTGATACTAATGTTTTAAGTGCAGTTAATGTTCCAAATGTATTGTGTGACAAGGACCTTAGCCTCTTTTATGGCCTAACTTAATGTTAACACAGTTAAAGGCCTACTAAAGCTACTATAAAAGGATTCTAGCTCAACACAAAGGTCTAACAGCATCTATTGCATATTGAAAATCACAGAAATGGGGGGTTGGTTCCTCATGAATTCTGAATTTTCAGATTCTAAATATTAATGGTGCTTCCGGTTTGTGAGGTACAAACTGTAACTGGGCTGAATGAACTCTGAGACCAAAGGCGGATGTTACACTAGGATATTGTTAAAAGGAGGCCCCTTTTTAAAGTTAAAAGGAGGCCCCTTATAGGTTTTTTCCTGATTTTTAAAATTTTTTTTTAGCTGAGGATATGGAAGTCTGCCTTTAATATGTCTTTTTTTCCACAAAGCCTAGCTGTCTTGGGCTGAAGCCCCTGAAAGGACTGTACTAAGACTGTAGCTGGCCTCCAGCCAGCACAATCTATTCCATGAGATGATAGAAGAAAAACAGGGCCGAAGTTTGGCTGTAGATAAAATAAGTCTTTATTGTGCTTTTTACCTTTTCCACACAGTTCTCTGTGCTGGATGTTGCCTGTTTGCCATGATCCTTTGAGTATTTTACTTAAACAATGATTTTTTTTTTTTCTTGCAGGGTTATGAAGGTTGTCTTATAAAGCTCACGTCTAAACAGGTAAATGCCTAATCAACGTTCAAAATTTCAGCATCAAAGTCATAGCTGTAAGCACACTAGGCATAGGGATTGAAAACAAGGAGCTATCTCACCTGAAACCCAGGGTCACTGGTACCTCTGCTTTTAGTGACTCAGGGGGCCCAACTCTTTCTATGGGCCAGTTTCCAATAGTGCTAACTGTAAGGGGCAGGAGTCTGCATTGCTCCTTTGAGGGGTCATGCAAGTAGTGATTTGGGAGTGAGC